TCTCAACGCGGCTGCTCGTGAAGAGCGTGACGCTGTTGGTGCCTCATCCTTTGACAATGGTTCTGCCTCAAGCAGAGCCTCCTTTGATGAGCGAGTACCTGATATTCTGGCTTCATGGCAGGAAAGATGGCCCAATCTGCCAGCGACCTGGACCGTGGCTTGGTTCTGATCCGCGTGAAAACACAATCATATTACACACCTTGTGATGCGACTGCAATGCCATACGACGAAGGCCTCGAGCGTTGAAGTATTTCAGCAACTCGGTAGGCGGTATATGCAAGTTTGCAAAGATTTAGATCCATCCACGGGATGGGCAGTAGGATGAACTTTAGTGGCTTGGGAGGGGAGATTTGTTTCTTGCTTTTAATCGTAGATACCCGAGACCCGTTCCAGTCGGAGTTGAGTCTTTCGTGACAAGCGCGCCCTTGGGTTCACAGGTGATGCCATGAGGCCGCCAACAACCCATCAGGAAGGGCTCTCGTTGCCTTTCGCACGATGTTCAGATGCTGAAGACATACGGACTACAGGGCTCAACCCTTCACATGTCACTATGATCACAAATCCATGCGCAGCTGAATCTGGATAATACCTCATAACCCAGCCTTCCCATTGCCGGCCATTCCGTTACTATCCCCGAAGCAGTTTCGCAATCAAGCAGATCCTGTACGGTTGCTTATGGGACCCCCACAGTGTATTAGGCGCATACCTTTCATAGGCAGATAAGAAGTGTCGATCACAAACCGGCTTCAAAATTATATGAAGATTGTCTCAGACTGCATGGATAGCGAGTGTTTCAGGGAAGACTGATCAAGATTGATCTCGTTCAAATCGGCCTAGGTTATGAACTCGATGTCACAGTAGACGGTGCTGGCGATCATTTTAGCACAGCCACTTGTACGATTCATGTAAAGCGGCATTTGGAACTGGTATCGGTCGTGATGTCTTAACTCTCTGCTACAATTCGCCAATCATTAAGTGTCGAAAGACTACGTATAGTATGTCATCAAGTGCTCTCAAGAGAACCAATTAACTTGCATGAAGGTCAGTGGCTGCCATTCAGTGGCATGGAAGTCCTTGTCACAGGCTCAGGGGTATTCGAGAGGCAACCAGTCGAGATGAACCTCGTCTTTTCATTCGAAGCCGCGTAATGGGAATGAACAGGACGGAAATCTAAATTAGTACGAACGCCACAGCTTTGTTTGGTGGGTCGTTATCAGAGGTCTGGGTGGTGTGGGTGTCGATTCATCAGGTGATAACTGTTAATTGATACACCTGAATGGTTCTAGATCTGCTAATACCACAATTTTACCATAGGGTATGGCAAAGTTGGTAGGAAGACTTATGTCCATGAGGGTTAGAATATACTAAATCTTGTAAAGTCTCTCGGATACTCCTATCCTTGCTTGTAAGAAGTATTGATTACGCCGCTTTATATGCAATCGAATCCTGCTCGCCCATCCGCGGGAAGCTCACAAGGCGACCCGCGGAGCCCGCATCCTTCGAATGCCAATAAAACAAAGCGAAAACCCAATTGCCGTGATACTCGTGAATGAAATAGAGTTCGAAAATAATAGCGATTTCGTGGCACATTAAGCAACATATACGTTAAAATGGCACCACGAGAAGAGCCTAAAGTCATTCGACCAATGAGCAACTTGTATGGACTCTTTCAACTCCTAGCATCTGAATCACACCTAACTATAAATCAGAGAGTTGTACCACTCAGCCCTACACACTTTGCGTCATAGCTGTGGTACCGCTGTGGTATGCCGTTATGGCCTCCCAAATCATCTCATTGGCGGCCCAGTTGATAGTATTCGAACTGCCTTCCATCGTGCTCTGGCACTCACAATAGTTGAACACCCCATGCTGCAAGTGGGTATCCTAAACGAGGACTCAGCTGTACCATCATGGATTGAGCTGGACAGTGTCGATCTTGGTCTACATGTTAGTTGGCAAGAGATCAAAGCTTCTGATAATTATGAGAGTTCCTTGAAGCATGAGATTCGGAACCAGCTCGATACTTGGTTCACAGATGTCGAAACAAAGCCAGGATGGAGGGTCTCTATCCTATGGCCAGAAGGCAGCATCCGGTCATTGGATTTCATATTCTGTTGGAATCATACCAACTTCGATGGTGTAGGGGGCAAGATTCTGCACCAGACCTTGTTACGCAACCTCAATGACTCGAAGACTGATCAAGAACCAAATCTGGAAGGAAACATCCTTCAACTTCGCAGTATTGTAGATAGGTTTCCCCCTCCCCCAGAGAAGCTCATCAAGATCCCAATCTCATGGGGGTTTGCTTTGTCAACAATCTGGAAAGAACTCAGGCCTCCATTTCTTGTCTCAAACGATCCAGCTCAGGCCAACTGGGCTCCTATCCAGGAGGAGCCTTACCACACCGAATTCAGAACATTTTCGATTGGAGATGCATTACTGAAGAAGGTCCTGAGCAAATGCCGGGCAAATAGCACCACCATTACAGGTCTTTTGCATGCCCTGCCACTAGTATCGCTTGCCCTGCAATTAGACGAGGGCAGGAAGCATCACAAACAAGAGGCAAAGTCGATGTTTGCTATCAGTGCATTGGATACCCGTCGCTTCATCCCCACCAATTCTGAGGCATACCCTTGGCATGTTCCTAGTACGACCATGGATAACCAGATGACACTTGTTAACCACATGTTTGATGAAAACCTGGTCACAGAAATCCGCTACAAAGCCAAAGGGATATCATCACAGACAGATGCCATGACTCAACTTGAGAATATTGTCTGGGCAGCTGCTGTACAAGCTAGAGAGGATATCCAGAACAAACTCGACAAGGGCATGGACAATGACCCTTCAGGCTTGATGAACTTCGTCAAAGATTGGCGTGTTCAAAAGAAGCAGCAGCTCAAGAAGCCCCGAGTAGGCGCCTGGGGTGTATCCAATTTAGGAACACTGGATGGGGCCATTGAAGGATCAGCCTGGAAGATCGAGAGAGCTGTGTTTCAGCTGAGCTGTGAACTCACTTCGCCTGTGTTCCATATCAGCTCGATTAGCGTTAAAGGTAAAGAGATGTGCGTTGATGTCAGTTGGCAACAGGGTATCATCGATGCTGAGATTGGAGACACACTCGCGTCCGATATGGAGGCCTGGATAAGGTTTCTTGGCGCCGGGGAAGAGGAATGATGAAGGAGTTCAGTGAGCAAAAAGACCTAGGCTGCGACTTGAACTATTAATTCAGGGGGCCAGAGAATTATTAGTCAAAAAGCTTCCTAAGTTTATGCTCAAGTTGCAGAAACTTGTCCTAAACTTACCTAAACTTAGGTTGCCTCAAGTTTTTTGTTGCTTAGGGTCGAAGTATTGAGCTTTCTGACCTCCCAGAAGAGGAATAGGAGAAGAGGAACGCGGTTTGGAATGTTTGAGGACGTCATGAATGACATGACAGAGAAATGAGGTCAAGTGGTGACCAGGTTATGTTATGCTTCTATTTAGTAATGCTTGGCTTTGCTTAATGTCCGAGACATTCATAATGGTAAAAACGAGTTGGTCATAAATCAGAATCTCCCAGTACCTTGATCGATCAACCATACGGAGTAAAGGCATTAGATCTACGGAGTAATATGGAATCTTACTGTTATAGGTTCACTTATGATATCTTATCCCATTTATGAATCTTATGATACGGTGTTGTCCGTTATCGACTTATTCCGGCTTGTAGGTCCGGGTGGCTGTACAGTACCTTGCCTAGCCGCGTACCAAGCACGTGCCGACTTTATCAAGACCCGCCTATCCCCAACGCCTCGCTCGGCAACCCGCTAAGCTTTGAACGCCTGACCAGGATCATCCGTCAAATCAGAGCTCGCAAGAAAGAGTCGCTTTTGCTGGTTCAGGGGCAGGGGGGCCTTGGGGCGGTTGACGGGTGCATTGACTGGAGCTCTTTAGCAAAGCGCAGTGTGCTCAGTGGACCGGACCTTGAATAAGGTGCCCAGGCTTAAGCCCAGGTTGCATCGAGATTGGCTGTTCTGCTTATTTCCCGTCCGTCTCCTTGCATGGGGTCATATCATTCCATTTGGTGCTTTACACGAGCGGCAGATGCAAGAAGCCAATTCGATGTCTTGATATCAACCAAGCCAAAGTGGTAGCTGGAAGGTCAAAGATGACCCAACTACTATCAACTATTGTTCAAAAAACCATTTCCGAACAATACCTCACCCAGCCTCGGTGGACTCAAGAAATTAACACTCCGTCTTGAACGATTTAATAAATTGCCAGACCGGGGCACCCGGACATTCTGGATTCTCACCCCAGAAGACAAAGACCGAGAACTCATTTCCCGTAAAGATCTCACTCACTGTGCTATATCTGTCTGATGTCCACTCGTTCGCCTCGGATTGTCCACCCAAAACTTGGGGCACCTTGGCTTTAACTGCACAGTACGTACGCTATTTTCTAGAACAAGTTAAGCTGAGTGAGGTCAGGTCCAGTTGGTGATGATGGTGGAGTTGTCCCCTGAACATCCATCCAACCACACCCGATTCGGTCTAAACCCAACTTGACTTGAACCCCCTTTTGGATCCATGGAATTGGGGTCGGTCAGGGTCAGTGGATGGATTCACTTGAGTTGATTGAGTTGAGTCGATCGTTGGTTGATCTGCATTGCATTCTTTCCTTTCTTTGTCTTTCTTCTTTGGTTGTCCTTGATTTATTCTCTTTCATCCAACTAATTCATCATTTATTCCAAAAGGCAGAAGCAAACGGACCAGGATTGGCAAGCAATACCTTACTTTCCCCTGCTCTTCAACTCTTATCATTTCTTTCAATTCACCGTATCTTGACTTCCATCTCACAAACATCACCACCCCCATCATTCATTCCTGCCATTGAGCCACACTCCAAATCGTCCGCTTTTCGTCGCTTCCGGCCACCTGCTGAAGCTTGGCGCTTCCGTCGCCCATCGCCCCTGAAAAGTCGCCAAAGTTGTGGGGGAACCTTGGTTAAAGATTCCAACCAGAGGTAGCCTGCAGCCTGTATTCATTTCGACCCTGTCCCCGTGTGGCGTCCATATGAGACAGGCGGCTGGTGCTGTTCCAGTTCCATCTCCCTCCAGCATCGTCTCGGTTTCGCATTTCTGTCTTTTTTTCTCTCCATCATGAGCATCAGCCTGGGACGCAATGCGCCGTTGTCCCCGATCTCTCTAGGCGGTAGCGAGTTTTCTGTCTCAAAGTATCAAGGTCCCGAAGACGGCCCCTATCCCAACGGTCGCTCCAATCTCGCATCGCCCCCGAATTCGGGTGGCTCCAACAGCACCATGAGTATCAACGGTTTCCCGAGCGCTCCTATCAACGGTCCAGGACCTGGTCCCGGGCCTGGGCCTGGTCCTAGAAGCACTGGAGGTCCCTCGCCGCCTGCTTCAATTGCTCGGTCGAGCAACGGAACCCAGCTCTATGCTCGCAGCGAAAGTGGTCGTAACAGCGTCCGCGGCGATCTCGACGAGTCCGTCCTCAGCGAGCACTACGTTGCTCTGCGCACTTTTCTCAATACCCGAGATCCCAATCACAAACAGCAGCCCAACAAAGCCCGCGACAAGCTTTTGCGCCTCTCCTCGGTTCAGTTTTATGAGCTTAGTACCGATGTTTTCGACGAATTGATAAGACGACAGGCCACTGCCAGGGCTCCGCCGAACGCACCAAATGGTCCTCCCTCCTTTCTGCTGCCCGAGAAGAACTTTCACCCCAAGCGCAACCAGGCTCGCCAAAGGCTATCGTCTCTTGGCCCACCACGATTCCGAGATCTGGCCGCCGATGTCTATCACGAATTAGAACGAAGATTCCCTCGATTTGTAGGAGCTGATCTCGCCCGCAGTGGAAGCCCCATGTCAATCAGGGGACCGGGTACTCCAATTAATGGTAATGGCTTTCCCCCTCGAGGTCAAAGCCGCATGAGGAGACCCTCTGATGCACCATCTATGAGAGGTCCTGGACCGACAGATGCTTACGGTATGCCAGCATCACCAGGTGCCCAGAATGGCGATTACGGACGCCCAACCCCGAAACAGCTCAACCAGAATAACACGATCGTTCCGAACAAAAGTACCATGCTTGAAGAAGACGACGAAGGTGAAGGATTTGCAGAACCAGATCCGAATCGTGAGAGCAAGCGGAGTGCCGGAAGCGGTGTGACTTCGGAGGTTTGTGCTGCAACATCTTGATGGAAAGGGCAAGACTCCTAACATATCACAGGCCGATAAGAAGCTCATCGAGGATTATCAAAATCAGGTACGAGAACTACGTGAAAAATTGGATAGTATGGAAGATACTATGAGGAAGAAGGAAGACGAGATGAACAGTGCTCTGGACCAGGAACGTTCTCGATCTGCTACTACCAACCAGGAGAAACAGGAATGGAATGACCTGAGACTCAACCTTGAGAACAAACTAGCTGAGGCGCAAAATTTGAACGACTCAATGAAGCAAGAATTGCAGCGTGTGCGAGAGGATCACGATATCGAGACACAAAGGCTTAGGGACGATGTGGCCGCAGCACATGAATCAGCACGAAATACTGGGCCTGCTGCATCAGATTCAGACCTTCAGCGGGAAAATGATGAGCTACGACAGGAACTCCGAGAACAACAACAAGTCACAGAAGAGGTTCGAAAAGAGGCCCAGGAGTTCTTGCTTGAGATGCGCCAACTTTCGCAACAGAGTGGCTCAACGCATGAACGACATGCAGAGCTGGAAAAGACAATCGAGAGACTCGAGCGCGAGGTTCACGAGTGGAAGAACCGATACGCGGGCGCAAAAACGCAATTGCGACACATGCGTGCATCTTCCGCTGGTCCTGGCATTGAGCATGACGCAGCAAAGCATGTCCGGGAGAAGGGATTTATGGATGACCGAGGACTTGTTAAAGATGTTCACGTCACCAAGTTTCAAATCGCCATTGACGAGCTTCTGCAAAAAGCACGAACTGAAGATCCAGAAAAGGTCATCGACGCAATGAAGCTCGTTGTTGTCAGCGTCCGCCGCATTACCAAGGACATCGAGGTCCCACAGAATAACGATGAAGACTTCGCACAGCAACAGGCCAAGATCAGATCCAAGGTATCTTCTACCGCAAACAACCTCATCACGGCTTCCAAGAACTTTGCTCATAGCGCCGGCATGTCCCCCGTCTCACTACTCGATACAGCAGCGTCACATTTGGCTGCTGCCATCGTGGAGCTTCTTGGCCTGGTCAAGATTCGGACAACTCCCGCTGAAGAATTGGATGATGACGATGGAACTGTAACCCCTGCGGACTCCAGTGGACTCTTTTCCCCTGTAGCTACTGAGCATCCTTCGACTACTCAAGTCGGACTCCCTCCTCCACCGCCCTTCCAAGGTCTTGGTGGTATGCGAGGAAGCATTGACTCATCGGCATACAGTCCTTTGGGCTCACCTCGTCAATCCGCGGAGCCATATTCTGGAAGGCCCATGTCTAAGGCGAGCGCGGTACCAATCGGGCTCGGGCACTCTAATGCGAACAACCAAGTCAATGGGCAAGGATCGCATCAGCTAGACCCCCGAGCCGCCGAAGACCTCAAAGTCAGTTACCCTTCGACGCTAGATCATCAATATCGCTAACCAATTATTCAGCTCTACCTTGAGGATCAGAATGCTCTCCTTTCGACTGATATCCAGCAGCTTGTGAACACCATCCGGGGTGATGCTGAGATGCGACAGATTACAGGCGAGATTGGCTCTATCAACGCGATTGTTAGCAACATCATTTCAGAAACACAAGCATACGGCTTAGGCGAAATGGCAACCCAGTTGGCAAACTGCAGAGCACGACTACTAGAGGCTGCTGATCAAGGCCAGGATATGTCCAACATTGGCATGGATACCAACTCTCACGAATGGCGCATGTGGGTACAAACACTGCCACCCATCGCATTTGGGCTGGCGCGTGAGGCCAAGGAGTTGGCTCAACAAGCCGACGATATGGCCAGATCCGGACGACCTGATGACTTTTCGTAATTACCTTTCACTTCATTTCTAAGAATCCGGACTTTGCCTTTGCAACCGGAAAACGCTTTATACCCCCTGAACGCCAGTTTTAGCACTGGATTAGCTATTTGATGCTGTCCTAGTTTTTTTGTCTTGGATTGGTCGATAATATCGAGACAACGTTGAACGTATCTCGACAATGAGCGGGTTGAGATGAAAAGGGACATTTAGTTGGGTAATGTTGCACGTGGAAAGCATGGGAACGGCGTTAGGATTGCTGTTGGTAATGCATTGTGCAGACAGACATAGGCCCTGGATTGAGTATATATATGTAAGTGTGCCGAGTACCAAGAGGAGGATCAAACATGGCTTTGATATTTGTTCCAAAGCGAGTTAGATGACGTCCTCCAGTTCAGACAAGACTACACGATGGACGAAGATTATAGAGATAGACGAGAAATGGAATGTTATCGACTATCTATGATATCCTTTTCCGCGCCGTATATATGTCGACCTCGGGTTGTTAGAAGACTTACAAGTCTACTAAGTCTATTCTAAATTATCCTAAACTTATCCAAGTATTTACAGTATTTAGATAGGACTACGTAAAGCCTTCGGTCTTCTGCTCTGGGTATCCAACTTCAGCCCTGTACAGAACCTAGCGCCTACTTTGACAGGCATTAATTAACCTCCACTAGAACTAAGCGTCATACATAGGTCGATACAGACCAACCCATCTCAATTCCACAACACACATTCTAATTTAAACTATTGAGCCTAAACATAATGGCTAACAGCCATGAATTCCGCAGAAGAATCCTTCTGCTTGCCACAACAGGCGGTTTCACTCATGCAGGTTGGTACCTCTCCAGAACCCTCGACACCCATCAAAGCTAACACGACAATAGCTCCAGTTCTCGAAATAGGCGCTGTCCTCGCCTCTCGAGGCCATGATGTCCAATTCGCTACCTGCGCAGGCCAGGAAGATTGGGCAGCTAATTATCCCTTCATAAAAACTGTTTACACAGTTGGTCCCGCCGCTTCAGAAGACGATTTGGATCTGCACTACGAAACAATGCGTCTGTGGCGTCATGAGCACGGCTTCGGTCCCATGATGAAGTCGAAATACTTCTTTGACAACTTTTGGAGGGATACTTACAAATCTCTTCGAGCGCTATGTGAAGATGCTTCTACAAGGCCTGACTTTATCGTTGCAGATTTCTTTGCCGATAGCGCTGCGAGGGATATGCTCAAGCAGTTCAATATCCAACTAGCGAGCGTCTGGCCTCAGATGCCTTATGCCATGGCGCCTGTCAGTTATCATCCTGGACAACCTGGATTCCAAGCCGATGGTGCGTTGACTTCGGAACATGCCTCTCTATCATCACGGTTCTGGAACGAATTTGTGGTTCTCGCTGCGCTTCCTACTATTATCCCCTGGTTAATATGGACGAAACGAATGCGTGTTGATGCTGGCGTCAATTACAGCCATTCTCTTCTCCCCAAGCCTGATTATCTTGTTCTGGTCAATTCCTTCTGGGGGCTTGAAGCACCTAAGGAACTGCCACCTCTTATGGCACCTGTCGGACCTATTCTCAGCGATGAATACCTTCCATTGGACAAAGACCTGGCTCAGTTTCTGGGTAGCCATGATAGGACCATCTACGTGTGCCTAGGGACACATGTCAACCTTCCGGGTGAAGAACTTGAAAAGTATCTCCTTGGGTTCATCCAAGCTCTCGAAGATGACTCCATCAACGGAGTCATATGGTCTATTCCCCAAAAGCCTCGCGCCAATTTCGACACCTCCAAGTCTTATAGTCTATCTGATGGTTCGAGCATATCTGTTGCCGGTCTTCTTAACGATGCACATCCGCATTTTCGACTTCCTGTCTTTGCACCACAGCGCGCCAGCCTAGCACACCCTAATACAGTCCTCTTTCTCACGCACGGCGGCGGCTCTAGTGCCAATGAAACTCTCTTCCACGGAACACCAGTCCTCGCTATTGGGTACTTCTTCGACCAGCTCTGCAACAGTGCCAGACTAAAAACCGCCGGCGTGGGCATATCTCTCGATAAATCCTACCTCACACCATCTTCCATCGCCTCCGCTATTTCACGCATCATAACTGACGAAGATGGTTCCTTTGCCATGAACGTACGCCGTATGCAAGGCATAGCAACTCTCAACTCTAAACGCAAACATCTTGCAGCTGATCTTATCGAGGAAGTTATGATAGATCAAGAACTTCGATTCAAGAAGGGTGCTGAGTTACGACCGATGCACCTGCAGACAGCAGATATGCGTATGTCGATATGGAAGGCAAGGAATTGGGATATGTGGCTCATCAGTCTCACGGGTCTCGCAGCTGGTGGCGTGGCAAGTTGGTGGTTTGCAGCACATGGCTGGAAGAAGTTACCTGCCATACTGGCACGCTCTGTAAGACTCAGTAGAGGCTTTGCGAGGGAAATGTTTCATAGTCCAAGGGCATAATGACTCTAGACATCTTGGCCGGGAACATGTAACAATATAATATAGATGGAGAATGGTCTGCATTATAAGAATTACCATCCCTCTCAGGAGAAAACGACTAATGGTCGTATGATATACATACAATCCCCTATTAATGTTTCTATGGTCTATCCCTAGATTTAAGGTTAGACTTATGAGTGTTATTTGTAGGTGGGTAGAGCTGCCAGTATTTACCTTACATGTCCTTCTTCTTGTCATCTTCATCGCCGTCGCCGTCGCCGTCGCCATCACTCACTATGCTTTTCCTTGGCTGGTGATAAACCCTTACCACTCGGCCATGGTCTCATCGTCGGAGATTATAAGATCGAACATAGAACCAACACTGTCGTCTCTTATTATTTGGTGTGGTGGCGTCCAGGGCATCACACATAGCTTTGCCTTTCGTTTCGATCTTCGGCGTCGCTCCCGCTGCCATCATTGTCTCTCTCCTCCTTTTTTCTCAACGCTTTTTTCATAGCCATAAATCATTCTGAATCACATCACAATAATATAGATGACAAATCTTTGTTTGCATCACTGCCCTGTACCGTGTGCGAGCCCAAAACCAGAATCCACTGCATCGTCCTTGAACTATGATCAACTACTTATCCTTATCGGATAGCTTCTTCGCCATAGAATCAAAATCTTGCTGTCCTACCTTCGCCATGTCTTTCATGGTCTTATCCACCTTGTCAAATCTCTTCTCCATGTCCTTACCAAGTTTGGCAATTGCCACGTTGAGAATGGGTGGATGATCTTGGTTGGGGTCCTGGATTACACTTTCCCAGTCGTTGATATTGTTCTGCATCTCCGCGATCTGCCTCTGGAGAAGCTGTTCTTATGTGCCATATATAAAAATAATGAAATATAAGGCATCCTAAAGTATCCTAAAGTATCCTAAAGTATCCTAAAGTATCCTAAAGTATCCTAAAGTGTCCTAAAGTGTCCTAAAGTGTCCTAAAGTGTCCTAAAGTGTCCTAAAGTGCCCTAAAGTATTAATCCTAAAGTAAAACTTACCATTTCTAGGCTGGGGTGATTCTGTTATTACCTTATTATCTTTATTGCTCTTATTGTGGTTGTCAGTCATCTTCAGCGCTATCGCTATCACCCTTCACGTTCTCGCTTTCCTCCTTATCCTCATCGTCATTATTAGAGAAGTTGTTCTTGCGTGCCAGCGTCCCCGAGCTTAGACTTGTTGTCCTTATCCTTGGACTTGTGACTGGCGTTTGTCTCGTCCTGTCGCTTGAATTCAAGTTTAAGTCTCTTGATAATCTCAGTCTTCTTCTCGTTCTCTTTCTCAAACTGTCTGTTTTCCGAAGATAGTTCCTTGCACTCAAGATCCCGCTTCTGGACAACGATCTGGTGCTGCTTGGCGTTATGCTTATATGCTTTGATAGTCTCTTGTTGATTAGAGATCACTGCCTTCATATCTGCCATTTCTTTGTGAGCTTTTTGACCGTGTCTGACTCTGCTTCCGTATTGCGAGGGCCATCCTCATCGTCGGACTTAGTAAGATCCCACGGCTCAATATCTTCAGTGCCCTTTTTTCTAGTTTTTTTTTTTTTTTTTTAGGCATAGTAGCCTCTTCGGCGTCCTCAAGAACCTTTTGCTTTCGTTTCCGATCTTCGAGGTCGGTACCGCTGTCGGTATCAGAGCCCTCGTCCTTCTTCTTCTTCTTGTCATCGTCGTCATCGCTGTCCTTGCTTTCTTCGTCGTGCTTGTTGTCATCGTTTTCACGCTCTTTATCCATGAGCTTCGGAACAAGCCCCTCCCACTTGGCCGCAATGTCATTGTCGGTCATGTTTGCTGGGAAAATCGGCTTCGTTTTGGGGAACTTCGCTCCCCAGAGCTTCGACATTTCCTCTGCAATCTGACTAACGGACGAGTTTTTGGGCCAGATGGCCAAAACAACTATCCACATGCCAAAATGAAGCTGTTTGATAAGTCCGTTGCCCTTTAGGACTTCATACAGTCGGTATTGGCTAGGGTTGGTGGCATGCTACCCATTTGTCTGTTTTGAGGAACTGGACAAGTTTATCCGCAGCAGATTTGGGCATTTGCGGTTTGAGTTTGTGGAAGTGCTCAAAAACAATTGTGACCGGAAGTCGTGCCACGGCCTTGTTCTTGCTGGCGTTGATCTGGGCTTGTTACTGAAGTCCTTCAATTGAAGAACCCCCTTGTTCTTGGGTGGCAGAAAACCGAAGACTTTATTTCTAAGTTATATAAATCCTTAGGTAATTTTAGGAGAATTTAGCATAACTTATGATAGTTTAGGATAATTTAAGATAAACTTAGTAGACTCTTTAACTAGTAGTCTTTTGTCCTCTTGTTCATATCTGACAACCTGCTATGCCGGGCTCAGTGGATAGGTACGAGCTTCTGGCAGTGAATCACTGCCTCTAAGCCTGTAAGTGAGTAAATTTAAATCCCCGCCCTTTACAAACATACATTCTTGCCACCTCGTGAATGATTGATCATGCCAACTACGAATGGCAACCAATCGTCTCTTCGTGCAGACGCTCTGCGTCGATTAGAAACGGAACTCAACGACATGGTCAAAAAGGGATACATCAATATCTCGCCTGTTCACCACTTTAAGCTGGATGAAGATGGAGTTCCCAAAGTGGCCCCGAATCCGGTCCCTCAAGTGTCTTCGGAAAGACTAAGGTATCTCAGATCAAGAGTTACATCAAAGACAGCCTTCTATACCAATCAACACATTAGAAACACACAATTAATTAGCTTGACAACTTGGAAACTTTCCCATCACACCAAGAGCTCTGGACGGCCATTAGGGAGTGTCATGATGAAACTATGGAAGACTACACCTGGTTAGATCATGTACTGCGGACTCTCGAAATTCACCCATCAAGACTTTTACTCTTAACATTATAGACAATCTCGCACCACGCATCGGCCGTATTGTTGGCCCATGCGACAAAACAAGAAACTCCACAGGCACCGCATCCGACGAACTTAAAAAACTCTCCGGCCAACATCTCGGCCTCTTTGCCTTGGTTTCTGTAATCCACCGTTGCTATGACAGAGCCTTAAATAGCAATAGTCTCAGGCAAACAGACGTGCAGGGAGTCAGGGATGTGCAATGCCTACGAGTTTTGATCAAGGCAGTTTCGCATGCGAACCCCAAGGACAACCTTGATGCAGAAGTGTTTCTGTCTCTAAAGAACAGACTCGACGACATCGCGAATGGGTGTCGTGATGGATCTCCGGCCTACTAAACTGGCACGCCTCTCTAATGATACAAACTGGAACTATTTGTCTTCCAATCAAAGCCCAAGCGGTGTTCACGAAATCGTCGGAGAAGAGGCTGAGGCAGGAATATTTGCTGGTAAATGATGCGAACAAGGGGATAAGGTATACCCGGCGGTGGTCCATACTGATGTTCAAGGGGAATATCAGACAATCGTTTGAGATGTGAGAACAAGGGTATTAGAACAGGAAATGACAATAGAGCCACCTCAATTCAGGATCTGACTCTTATTCTCTAACAGTCAAATATACTCCAGCCCCATCTCAGCAGTTACTACTTGAGTTTAAGTTTGCAATGTAATCACCCTAGCCTAAAATTAACAAATCTTTGTTTGCTTTATGATCGTGATTCCTAAACTGCAGTACAAACTTACAAACTTTAGGATACCCTTAGGTTATTTGCATATACCTGCAGGCCTGAGAAGTCGGGAAAGGCGGCTTTTCTCTGGGCTGCCGCCACTCACAGAGTCACGGCCTTTGAGGCAATCGGAACCCTCTAATATTATTCAGCGGATTTCAATGTCCAGGTCATTGAAGACCTTCCTTAGATTGATAAAGACCCCTGTCACCTTTTCAACGTCACAAAAAAGTGCTTCAGCGGGACGATCACGCACTTACCCTTTTATGGTCTGGGCTCGATTGCTCCACTCGTTTTCAACAAAGACTACCTGGTAAACTCGATTCTTTTTGTCCATCTGACGAAGCCGCCGTCGCGGCGTCTACCATTTCCACCGGTAGGAGAAAACTTTGATTCTAAAAGTAAAATCAAAGAATCAAAGAAAAAGCATTCCCTTTGATAATAAGAACCCGTTCTTTGTTCTCTCAGCTTTGTAAAATATCGCTCACAGGTGACAATTCTTTATAGCATTTAGATGACAGCTTGTTTTTGTTCCCCCTTGAATTCATGGAACTTGGCTGCTTGGTTTTCAGTGCCCCGCGCTAATCAGGGACCTTGCAGGTGTTTTTCCCGCTAGAATCAAATATTTGCTTCTTTTTTGACCAATCCCTGAACTCCCCGCGTGACCCGCCCGCTCTAAAAGTGCAGTGCAGAGCAGTCACTGCAGCGCAGAACCGCAGGTCATCCACTCGCTGGCACCAACTACAACTCTGTCTGGTAAGGAGACATGCATTTCGGTGGCGACCAGCTTCCTTGTGGAAGTACCCTCACACTTTCTGCCACTGACGGGAGCCCCAGGTGCCCCCCTGCACTCGTTTGGTCTAGTACTATTTGGGTCGACATTCCGTTTCTCATGGGGGATTCTTTTCTGCAACCTGCCACTCACTACCTGACTACTACTACTACCCTAGGTAGCCTCCATTTTCTCTTCTGTTCAAACGTTCATCGTGCACAAGCTTCCTGTTCTTCCTTTGACTCTTTACGCCTTTGTCCTGGTTGTTCGCTGTCAAGAATGCGAGTTCGGAGCCTCACGGCGCATACAAAAACTCTGGCCTCTGTCCTAAAATAAGTGGCGATTGCGCTCATCTCTCACTCGCCGCCTTTCTCGCTCACCCTCACACTCATTCTCACTTTTGTTCTCCACTGTCAGACATCAATCAACACCAAAACCTCATCGCTTGCCTGTCGCATTGGCGAGGCGGGCTCCCCCCGGCTTCAATGGAGATTCAACATCCGCCGCATGAGTTTGCGGCTCCTATTCTTCACTTTCAGCACTCTTCGCATCTTCAACCTGCGCCTGCGCCTGGGCCACTTCCCACTACCGAACTCCTAGACGAGCAACGTCCAATCCCCGCCAATACAAAGCAAAACGTCATCGAACCACAGTATCCTCAGACGTCTCAATTAACCACAGACCAAGACATCATTACGAATGGACCATCTCCGCTAGAACGGGTCCCGTCACTCTCTCCAGACCTTGATCGGGACGATGCAAGCTCAATTCTCAGTGATCTACCATCCGAATTGGATGAACCTGTCGCTGAACTCGACCCAATCGATTTTGATTGGGATGGCCCTGAGGGACATGAAGTTCTCCGACTCAAACCAACTGTCGAGCAATGGAACGACTTTCCGGCAAATCTTGCATTTGCCAGAAGTCTTAACGCTGAAAGCCACGGTTGTTTTAAAATCGTCCTTCCTGAGGAACTCATAGAAGACCTCCCAGAAAAGGACTCCCAAAAAGTACCGGCGAATGCATATCGCCCTACCCAAATTAAAAGGAACAGTTTCTGGCGAGTTGACACAGTTCCGTCTGTCGGCAGTTTCAACTCGTCTGTTACAGGTACGAAGTGCAATGTCACGGCTATCAAAGCCATCGACCAGCTCCGAAAACTATATCGCAAGAACGATCACAAGCAGATTCGCAATGTACGCTATCGAGTTGATGTGCCTGCATGGACCCCCGAGCAACGCCTTGAAGCCGGCGTTCCTGAAAGAAGTCCCATCTATCCCCTCAAAGGTGATAAATTGGACAACACAAAAGCCATAATTCCTGGAATCCATACTCCATATGTGTATGAATCAGGACCCCATTTCGGAGCCAGCTTTCAAATACACGCAGAAGACTTCCGGCTCGTTTCCCTTAACCATCTCTACAAAGGCCGAAAGATTTGGATCGTGGTTCCCTCGACTGCGGTTGATATTGCTGAAGAGGCACTTGGCCGGAAGGACAAGTGCTCTCAGTTTATGCGCCATCGAGCCGAGTTTTTCTTTCCCCAGAAACTGGAAAAACTTGGCATTCCGTTCCGCATCATTGATCAGCGTCCTGGCGAGACAATAGTAATTCTCCCAGATGCATACCACGAGGGCTTTAGCACAGGATATACTATCGCCGAGGCCAAAAACTACGCCGATGATGCTTGGACAACGAATACGTACCAACCATGCGAGGTGAAGTGTCAGCTGGCCACGGCCATCCCCGCTGACTTATTGAGGCCGTTGCAAGAGGGCGAGACACAGCTCGACCTTTGTGCTGGTTTTGATGTGACGGCAGAACAAGAATCACCTCCCGCGACACCAGCACCTGGAAAAACAAAGAGGCGTTTCGAGGACGATGGACAAGGTGCTGGGAACACTAAGCGGGCCAAGGTCTAGAACGGCGCATGGGGAAGGATACTGCTCATTTACATGCTTTTATGGAGTTGCTCCGGCTTGCTTGTTGATGTCTTGAGCATCGACTATTGCAATCTGCTAGGGGTGGGATTTTGCTAGGGATGGCTTCAATACCCGTGACGCCCGGCGTATGACACTTTTCGGCAGATGGCTATGATATTACGGATTCGGAACTTGGTTGTTTTTGGCGTTGCCCTCCTGTACAGAGTACTTTTGTCACATGGACCTAAGAGGTCACAATATTTTCGTTCTTAGACTTTCGTATTAATTTTCATTATGCTTCGTGTGAAAACGTTACACCCAACTTCAAACCATCTAGATGCACATTATCACAAGTCATTTGTACACATTGGAACAAAATCGCTTGGTGTCACCAGCAATTACATGATATCCAAAATAACAGGCATTCCACCTCTTTTTACATACGTCTCTCCTCCTCCTGTCTTCGCACTTCGTCGCGGAAAGCGTTGCGACCACCTGTGGTGCCCTGCTGAGGGAATGTAGCATCGACAGGGCTACCGGCCAAGCTGCCGAGACCGTCGCTGTCGGCGCGAGCACGCCGAGGAGCGTCACGGTATTCACCGGGAGGAGGAACTGAAGTATCGAGCTGGATGCCATTGTCCCTAGCGCCAAAGATACGGCGCTTGGCACGGCCAGTGTAACCGTGACGAGAACGGCTCGAGATGTTGCCGAGTCCGATACGACGCGTCTTGCGGTTCCAGAGGAAGCCACCGACAATGAGGAGGAAGAGAGAGCCGAAGACGACAGGCAGAGCGATGGTCAGGGTTTGTCCCTCGGGCAACTTCTCGTGGGACTTCTCAGGGAAGTTCTCATCATTGAGGTTGAGGTATAGAGATGAGGACTTGGTCTTCTCGAGGGAGTTGTTGCTGTTGCTGTAGAGGGTGATGGAGATGTTGTAGGGCGAGTACTTCATGTACTCCTTCTTGGCTTCGAAAGGCCAGTAGCCCCAGGCAGCGGGGACGGCGGAATCGGTGAACTCCTTGTACTTCACCCATGATTCACTGGTACGGTTGTAGAGGTCGAGGCGGGCAGTGACCATAAGAGTGGAGTTATCAGAGGACTTGGTCTTGTTGAAGTAATCGGGATCCCAGGTAACTGAAAATCTGTTAGTTGTTACAATTGACGCATCAATGGCTCTGTTGCTTACCAAAGTATGTCTTCTTAGCATCAAGGGTGCTGTTGGCGTAAGGCGAGCAAAAAGGAGCATTATCGCCATCCTTGTTGTAGCATCGCGCAAAGACACCCTCGCCATGCTTGCCGGTGGCCTGTGGGTTGGGAGGCTCGCCAGTGCTGGTGTGAATCTTGCCCCAGCTGGTGTAGGTGTAGACAGTGGCGGTAAGATCGTGAGGAGGAGCGTCGATCATGGAAGTGGTGCCATCGACGGTGGTATACGAGGGAGTGTATGTCGTCGCGGGCTGCATCTCATCATCGACAGTAACCCAAGCGGCAGTCGGTTCGGCTCGCTTCTCGAGAGCAGGAGCATTGGCTTCGAGATCGCGCTCATAGCGGATGACTGTGGCATGAGCAGAAGCCACAAGGCCAATTGAGGCGAAGATCTTGGATGCGTGCATTGTTGTTGTTTTGTTATTGTTCCCTCAGCGATGCGATGCCTGTCCTTAACACGACGTTCCTTTCCCGGTGAGACTCTTCCTAATCACACACAATAACCGCCGACGGAGAACAAGGGCGACAATGGAAAAGAAGAGGTAGAGGTTAGAGAGAACAAGAAAAAAGAGAAAGCGATGAGAAAAGCTAGGACACGGGAGATTTGAATGCCAATGCGAAGCAACCAGCAACAGGAGAGGCCGATCGGTCCGGACGGGACCAACCACAGCAAGGACTTTTTTATTTCGCGCAGAGTTCCAGTGGGTCTGTAACTGTTAGCGTCTTATTCCCCAGGGGATAGCCAGGGGCACCATAGGGAGCCAAAAAGTTCGATCTTCAATCAGCAAGCTAAAATAATCAATTAGAGCCTCACTATAATCATGCTAAATATGTGTCAGTATTTTTGTCATCCACTATCAAGTCCCAAGTTTTTCTTACCGCCCCTGCGGGCATTACGGGGGTTTCAGTGGAAGCTAATGCCGGAGAAGCCGCCAAGATTGAACGAGCCTTCGGGAAGGGCGAGGATGTGAGCGTGATGTCATGGGTAGGAACGTCCATTGAGTTCAAGATCTTTTTATGCATACGTAGGCAGTGAGGTTTAACAAGCTACCAAGTTATAAATCCTAATGAGTCTATATCATTTGAATGTGAGCCTTAATTGTTGAGCCAAGGCGGATGGATATCTGAAGGTGGTCTGTCTTATTGGATACCATTGCTCCAACACTTCTTGATACAGCTCCGTATTTGATACAAATATTCTCCGAATGTCAAGACGTTTGGTCGTGTATGCAATGACCAAGGAAGACCTCCTATTAAGTTTTAACAGTCCGTTCCCTAGCTTGTTCCTTCACCATAACATGACCTGACAACGTGTATCTCCGCGGGCTTTTTGCCCTCCTCCCCCATGTTACCAGTCTGATCCGCTTCGTGGGAGAAGAGAGGAATACTTAGCTGCCTTCTGGGTACCCTTTGTGCTCCATGGTCAGACTGTTTAACGATTATTAGCTTGCGAATGTGATGACATGCTGAAGCGATATCCATAATTAGTTTGCGATACGATTGCTCAAGCTCAGATTCGGTTGCATCTTCACACTCGGCGTTATTCGTTACTGGCTCATTCAAATACTCGAGAACAGAATCTCGTTCAAAGCTTGCGCATGGCATGCCGAGCCAAAGCTCTTGGGTCGATGTTTCGTTAAGAAGATCGCAGATTGTACTCAACGAGTTTGACTAAGTAGATGTGTGCTTCTTCGACACACGGGACAGCTCATCTTTCGAAGCGACAAGCTTCTGATGCAAGAGACTCACAGAGACTTTAGTCCTCCACCATGAATCCCAAAGTTCGTTTGCACTTCCTTGGATACCGAGGCATATGAGACCTTCGAAATGATATTCAATTCCCAGAATGATCGGTTCACTTAACAATGGACTGTGAAGGTTGGAGGAAATATTGAGCTTCTTCAGAGAGTGTTGGCTTCCAAAAGAAGAGTAAATGCGCACCAGCTCAATATACGTCCGTGTACCGTATTCCCCATCTAGATTAACGGCTTCGAGAATCTTGGGAAGGCAGCGGCTGAGAACAGCACATAAGATCTCTGGTGAAGCCAAAATTTTGAGAGACTTGAGCCTGTTCCATTTCCGGGTCCGTATCAAGAGCTCGCAGAGAATCCTTTCTTGCTCTTGGGGCCAGCCGCCGAGGGCCAAAGCCCACTCTTGTAGTCCGGTCATTTGCGAGATACTCTCGACAAGTAGTGGGCCAAGTTTCTCGTACAGTGATAGCTGCTTCCCGATGCGCCCACGCTTCTGCAGGATAATTGCTGCCTTTCTTGGGTGTTATTAGGACCATTTCACATGCTCAAGATGTAAGACAACTCACCTAATAAGTTCAAACTTCTCATTAGGCTTCATTGCAAGCAAGGACTTGAACACGTGGGAAAGAAATTTCGGGAGACCTTCGAACCAAAGTTGTCTCAAGTTGCTCGCGACAAAGGAGTCATAGTACTTTTTCGACACGACTACCAGGTTGTTCACGTTATTCTCCCCCAGAAAAGTTGCAACATTGTCGCGGCACTCCTGGGGCAGCCTCTCCATAACTGACAGCGTAGCGTAGGTGTTAAGGCAACAGACTCAAGAAAAGAAGGGCGGTTGCCCGTGCGCAGGTGACGTTGATTTCTCTCCGTGAATTGAGATCCTCAGTAAAAAAGAATGAAGATCAATATGAGGTCTGCGCCCAAAGTGCGATGATATCGTTGAAACGGCTCAAGGGGGGAGGTGGGTGGGGGATAATACGCTGAATGGGGAAAGAAACACCACCAGCCGGAGAAGGCATGAACAATGAGTTGAAGTTTTTAAGTACGTCAAAGTTGCAGGAATCCGTACGCAGCTCGCCTATGTCTTGATGAACAGAAGGGGTCCTTTAGCAGCCAATTGATACGAGAACAAGACGGAGGATCTCTTGGATATTTCCTAACTCTTATAAGTATATTTGGTATTGTAGATACGCGATTATATACATGTAATAACTGGTGAGAATATAGCCCGAAATAGCAGTGTTTAGTAGTGTAAGTTTAGGTGTTTATTCAAGCTTCAGACTAATGCGTATCTTGGCTCCGAATAACTGAGACTCAGGTTATCTCTCCCTTTTGTCAGATATGTTGATGATAGAACTGGTTACCATGTAAAGTATTCATAATGAATGTAAAGGCGGCTAACCCAGTTAAGGTATTCATGGCACACTCGGCGCACATCTCAACACACGTCAACTCTTTTCATCCGTAAAATGCTTATTGGCACATCCACCAGTCTAACGACTTAGAATCATGAGTTTGTAGAGGTAACTTTTAGTATGCACAAGGCACTGAGAAATATTCTACCTAAGGTAGATCCGCAATGTTGTCGATTGTATTAGTCATCAATTGTTGACAATTGTGGCCTCGCCCAATCATCTTCTCAATGCTCCATTATCAACACCTACCACGCAGCATTAGGTATTCTTCTTCCAAACCAAGAATAGCATCTCCTTCATCGTCAAACACCATCACCTTGAAGACAAGAGCCATGTCAGTCACGCTGCACACATCACACGGCGACATCAAGGTTGAGATATACTGCGAAAGTGTTCCCAAAACTGCAGAGGTTCGTATAATCCAGTATATGTTCAATCCAGGTCTTTCGCTCACACCTACCAGAATTTCCTTGCCCTTTGTGGCTCCGGCTACTACGATAAATCTCCCTTTCACCGCCTCATTCCCAAGTTTATGGCACAGACTGGCGCACCCGCGGCACCAAATCCCCCCGAAAACCCCAAAGGCGGACGCAGCATATGGGGAGGTGCGTTTGAAGACGAGATCCGGCCCGCGCTACGACACGGTGCTCGAGGCGTGCTGTCGATGGCCAACAAGGGACCTGGGACAAACGGATCGCAATTTTTTATCACATTCGACAAGGCGCCGCATCTGGACGGACTCAACACTGTATTTGGACGCGTCATTGGAGACGAGGGTTTAGCGACATTGGCCAAGATGGAAGCTATCGAGGTGGACCGCAAGAACAGACCCAAGGAGCCAGTCCGTATCGAAAATGTGACGATCCACGCCAATCCGATTGCTGGTTGAGATAACGACAATGTCCTTCGTACTTATCGTTACGCCATGACATTGCACCCATACCTCCTCGAATGAAAGCACTGTACTACCGCTACGGTACATCACTGAAGGAAGACGAAAATGGCACACGGTTAATGGCACGAAACTTCATTTTGGAGACTATCATTATATTCCTAACTCGCCCACGCCAACCAAAACTCCTAAACCATACCGGAACCCCAAACTCCCTGTCTAGGAGAAGTAAGAAAACTTCTGCCCTTCAAGTAAGGTGCCAAAAATAACTAGTCTAAAGGCCTACTAAGTTTTACTCAACTTACCTAAACTTACCTAAGTCTTTTTATTGTTTAGGATAAAGCTCCTAAGTTTCTTGCCTCCCCTAGCCTGTTTAGTTGGCATCCATGGATGCCCATACTCATCGTCAAAGCCTCGCCATTCCAACACTTTGGGGGTTTTCTTACTTTCGATGCGGTAAGGGATCTCCTCACCCTCCTGGGTGACATAAATCATGTCATTCCATCCGGTTGTTTCCATCTGCCTAATGAGCTTCAAGAGTTGCACATGGCTGCAAGCATTGATGTTTCGAACAGAATAGGTAACCAGGAAAGGCCCCCTGAAATGCCGAAGAAGGAGAAATGCTCGTTGGCTGGGATGGTAGGCAGGAAATTCATTGGACTCATCGCTCTGCCCCGCGGTGATAATGCCATGCAAAAATTTCCACCCTTTCGGACCATCATCAACAAGACCAGACTGTTGTTCCCACTCCTCTATGGCGGCGAATAATCGGAACAAGAGGGCATAATCACCTTCATACTCGCGATTAGGGGGAGGAATCAGCGTACCTTCGAGGATCCTTTTGGCCTTGACCCGTTCTGCAATTATTTTGGCATCAATGGTGTCATTGTATTTCGTATTTCCAAAAAGATCCAACTCCTCCATTGTAAGAGTTAGAGAGTCACATGATGATTCACTGTCGGGGGATCCTGGCTCGAGTTCTGGAATGGGAAAATCCTCTTGGTTGCCAATAACGAAGGAACTGTTGGTGATGGCCCATTGACGCATTGATGCGCCGGTGTCTTGACGCCTTCGGTGTGCTTTGTTACCAAGCCTCTCTGGCTTGAACTCGTCTCGCCACTTTCTCACATCCTTGATGTCGATGTGGAATATACGATGCTCTGCATCTCTGCTATCGTTGAAGCAAATCTTGAAGCCAGGGACAGGGGCCTGCTTGGAATTGGGAGACAACATACCCGTGAAGAACAGGCAGTTCATGGATGCGTCGGGAGTTCTCGAAGGGCACAAGTGTCGATGGGTTACACCTCTTGTAACCTTCTTTATCGGCTAGACCAGCTTGACGACATGAACTGAATTGAAACTGAGACCTTAACGAGAAGTTTGAAGCCGCGTGTGATGAGATGAAGAATAACACGAAACTCGGCAGACTTTTGTATCAATATTCGAGGACTCATTCCAAAGAAAGATGATCCGTGGATTATATGAACAATGGTAAACAATGATGAGTGTTCAGCTGAACGCAGGCCCTAGGCGATTGCTTGGATAATGGCCGATAACAATATCATAGTTGAAGTTACTCTGAACAATGCTATAACTGCGTGTTATTGATGAAAGTCCAAGTAGGGAATTCTACGTGAACTGTGTTTTCTTTGAACACTTCAAACAGAGATTCTATGTTGGACAAGGAGAACAAGACAAGGCATGACTGATGGTTTAATAGGCACCCAGCCAGTCATCTGACAAGTCTATCTACAAAAAGCTTGCAGGTCATGTACGACCGGAACATAAGCAAAAACATAGGTAATTAGCTACCTCTACACAAGAGGGAAAAAAGATAGTCTTGATGAGACTGGGACTCGAACCCAGGAGGATTGCTCCACCAGGAAATTGGTGTTAAGGTTAACCTTAACCTGGCGCCATAACCAACTCGGCCATCTCACCGAAGAGTCATGAGGACCCGCTTGTTGGTCAACGGTTTTGCTAGCCAGCTCATAAGCAGCTCACTTTCTCATGCTTACCTAGGCTAATCAAGAGTATCATTAAAACAGTTCATTGACTTCCTGCAGAAACGTCCTCTGGATTATAGTGTAGTTGCGATCGTTGTATATCGGTCGCTTAATCAATTGTTTGTGCAACATATCGACGACATAACGTGCTGACGCTTTCAAGGTTGGGCAGGAAAACGCCAGATTTCTGGACCTTTATGTTGTCATCGATCTAGTCTAAACCTAAGAGTAATAACCCTAAGCTTGGAATAATTTGAATCAATTTTATTGTAATTGCTAGAGAGATAAGACTCGCATCTCCCATAGCTGTTTTCCTTCTTTTTCTTCCGCCTACTAGGAATTCTGCTATGACGATGTTATCGATAAGACTCGGTGTGGATCTGTCATGCAGACCTAGCCAAGCTTCTTCTTAGCTCTTCCAGCCTTCATCACACGCGACTTGAATTCTACAACGTCAACAGTAAACACCCAATCTCCGATCACCAAGACTCAGGGAGTCGCGATGTCGGCGATCTATAATCTTGAACCGCAGCCCACTGCCTCAGTTATTATCCACACCACCCGGGGCGAACTCTCCGTAGAGTTATTCGCGAAGCAAACGCCGTTGACATGTCGCAACTTCCTACAACTAGCGCTCGACGGCTATTACGATAACACAATATTCCATCGATTAGTTCCAGGTTTCATATTGCAAGGTGGAGATCCTACAGGCACCGGCAATGGCGGAGAGTCCATTTACGATGGAGGCGCATTCAGCGGCGACCTAGATCCATGGCCCATGGACCAGCGCCAGGGGAAGAACGCAGGACCAACAGGAATCAATTTCAAGGACGAATTCCACTCTCGACTCAAATTCAATCGACGTGGTCTGCTGGGTTCTGCGAACGAATCGCGTCCAGATACCAATGGTAGCCAATTCTTCTTCACGCTCGACAAGGCCGAGGAGCTGAATGGGAAGAACACTCTGTTTGGCCGAATTGCTGGCGACACGATCTACAACTTGGCGAAAATGGGCGAGGGGGAAGTAAACGAAGCAACGGAACGCCCAACCTACCCAGTTAAGATCGAACGAATAGAGATATTAGTCAACCCATTCGATGATATGAAGAAGCGATCTCGAGTGGCTACCCAAGCACCATCTAAAACAGCAGCAGCAACAAGCAAGGATAAAAAGAAGAAGCGGAAAGGCGGGAAACAATTGCTCAGTTTCGGCGACGAGGAATGTGATGACGACATGCCAGTGCTCAAGAAAAAGAAATTTGATACGAGAATTGTCATGGAAGATGCGGAGGAAGACGAAATTCCCAGGAAACCAGCAAAGCCGAAAGTCAAGCAGCCAACAGTAACGGAGAAGCTCTCATCAATCGCAGATGAGGTCAACGACAAAGGGCCGAGGAAGGCCACGCTTGATCAGCCATCCAATGAGACACGGCGGAGTCCTGGCTCGCTTACGACCAGGGAGGTGAAGGACCAATCACATGAACCGGAGGCTCCCAAAAAGACCGCTCTAGAGCGAGCCAACGAGGAGATGGCCGCTCTGAAAGCATCGATGCGACGGACCATTCATGCGGAGGAACCTGTGAAGGAGAAAAAGAAGTCTGCACTCGAATCCATGATCCCTGAAACATCAATCAGGGGCCGGAAGCGAAGGCCCGGAGCTGCTAACACCTCAGCGAGCGAGGACGCAAAGACACTCCGCATGCTCAAGGCCTTCCAGTCAAGATTGGAGAAGGCACCCCCGGAAAAGGATAACGAACATACAACAACCGGGGCTATACGTGAAGAGGGAAGTACCCATGCTCCAGATGATGAAGCCGAGTTATGTGATTTACACTTTATCGCAAACTGTCAGAGCTGTACATCCTGGGATAAGCAGGAAAAAGACGAGAGCGATGATGAAGGATGGATGTCTCATTCTCTAAGCTTCGCAGCAGACAAATTAGGCAAGGATCTGAGTAACCGTAAGAAGGCAGAAGAAGAGCTTGTTGTCATTGATCCGCGCGAGAAGGCTCGGACTCTCAAGGATGAGAAGAGAGCTGCGCGCGATGCTCGGCAGGGAAACTCCGGAAGAGCATGGGACCAGGCACGAGATGCAGCAAGGAATGCTAAGATGGCTCAGGCAGCATCGCTTGCAGGTCGAGGAGCAAAGTAACCGAGAAGATCAGGTAGATAGGCCAAGTGTGGTTCAAAGCTGTTGGTGACAAGTAAAGTTTGAGACCATATTAGGAATAGTCTGTGTATGATACCCAGCATAAAAGCATCAGGCCAGGTTTAATAGTGCCCCTCCTAGTCTGAGCTGACATGGGACATGATGACGCCAATGCTTGTTCGCTGAAGAAAAGTGGCATTACGAGTCGCATCTGCCGTCCCCACAATATATGTCATGACCGATCTCGATCCTCAAGGACGCATAGCAACGATGAGATTTTGACTTTTTTTGTAGTCAATGACCGAATTGATGCAAGTAATTAAAGTGAGACATTCTGTCTCTGAAATTGAGAGGACCAATGTCATACATATAAAAAAAAAAAAAAAAAAAAAAAAAGCTGTCAAAACGCCACCAAGGGGCTTTAAAGCTGTGGCTTTCTTCAACGTTGAAGATCGAGATACGTCGTCTTATCATCACGTGAAGACCTGGGGCCCATGTCTCTGTCAGGAATCTGATTGGCCTAAAAATATTTGACATTCAATCCATCCGCTCCAAATGCTCCGGAAGACCCATTCGCAGCGCGACCATCAACTCCAGCATCATCACCGTCACGCAAACTGCACCACCGTTGAATCGCAACATCGGTACTTGCTCGCTTTCAGCTTCCGGCCTGTGCATCGCCTATTACTTACCGTTTCAGGATAGGTATGCCGCTCACTATTTCTTATCTCCCTTGATCTATATAGACCAAGGCACACCGACCGAGACCGCAGGCTGCCTTCCAGCCTTTTTCTTCAGACTACATAACTTGGGCAGACGCGCTGCGCAACTCACACTGCTTTAAGACATCACTACGCGAGCTCCGTACACGAAGGTAGAGCAAACGTGTGACTGTCCTTAGCCTTCAGTTCCGCGCATCTTCTCCATAATCATATCTTCAAGGCTGTGCCTCTTCACCAACAATTCCGTTTGACCGTGGTTTTTGCGGCAACTTTTCGCATTCACCTTCCAAGGCGCTCTGGCGATTCTTATCTGCTCCCTCGAAATCGTCCAACACTCTCCCTTATCACATCCCGGACACGACCGAGCAAAGGTTCAATCGCTGACCGCTTACAACGGATAACGTTGCGCACACGCAATTACAGAAGTGTTAATAAAAATCACATTTACTCTCCCGAGTTATCGCCCTCCCAAGGCACACATTGCGTGAAATCGATTTTCGATCAAGGCGACAAGGCGAACTGGCTCCAAAGCGGCCAACGTCACAAGTCTCGAAATCATACCCGACTAGATTAGGCATCGATCACGCCAATCCACACAAATTTAATCTCATCGCTTCTAAAGAAGCACTGATTGAGCCAGAGCCATTTTCATGTCAGCGCCCAACCCAAGGAAACGAGCAGCACCAGGAGCATCCCCAATGATGCCCATACCACAGCAAATGCAGCCACAGTACAGCGTAGGGAACCCGGCTGGCGACCATGTGATGCGTTGGAATGGAATAGGCGACCCTTCGAACTTCATGAATGGCGCTGATGGTATCATGGATGGAAATGCTCATGTTGGGAACTCATTTGGTCTGGTTCAGGCACAGCCACAGTATGCTCAGCCTGTGCCGACGCCATCGAACACGCTTGCTCGACGGCAAATGAATCGCGCGCTTGTTCCGACCAATGCTCGACCCTATGATGGAGCAGTTGAACCATGGGGGAACTTTGTTGGCGATGACAATGCTTTGCTTCAACAAAACCCTTCCGAAAACTTGAATGAGCAGGACAATGTTGAAATATTGGAGGAGATGGCCCAGAAGGCCAAGAGAGAGGCGCAAGCAAAGCGCAAGCAGATTCCCCCATTTGTGCAAAAGTTGAGCAGGTAAGTTTTCCCATCAGCATGGAATCGAAGAAGCAAACTAACCATGTCAAGTTTCCTGGAAGAGCGCAAGAACGAAGATTTGATCCGATGGTCAGAAAAGGGAGATTCGTTCATTGTGCTTGATGAGGATGAGTTTGCGAAGACTCTAATCCCGGAACTGTTCAAACACAACAATTACGCATCCTTTGTTCGGCAGCTCAACATGTACGGCTTCCATAAACGTGTGGGTC